AAAATGTTCTTTTTATATTTGAGATTTGAAAATATTGAATACAACATTCTTCATACATTTGTCTACCTTCATAAAAAAATTTGTCTTCTAGAAGATAAAATCAAACTTTGATGAGCATTTTAAGTTCAAATTATTACAACATGGATTCGGACCCAGGTATTCACTCGATTTCTCATAAAGCGATTTACTTATTTTGTTGTAATTCAAAAACGAATAACCCCGTAGATTCTAATAATTTACAATGTATGTTTATTTTATCATTTTCTAAATTTGAAAAAATGTACTTAAATTTTATCTCGTTTTGAGGTGTTTACAGACATTTTAAACTTTAAATTATTTAAATTATTTTTTTAATAATATCAGTTAAAAAATATTAAAAACACATCAGTAAGATTTTTTTTATAATCATTATAAGTTATTTTTTTAAGTTACAATTTTGAAAAAATGCATCAAATTGAAAATGTTCAAATTATTTTGTAGTTAAAAGTATATAAAATGTTCAATTTTTATAGCTAAAGATAGAAAAATTAAAACAAGGTCCCCTACACAAGAGCTTAATCTGTAACCTAAAAATGTGGACGAAATAACGTATTAAGACTTTTAGGATAAGTATATTATAATATTTTATACACACAATGAAATTTATCGACGAAAATGAATTTAAGCTTCTTTAGTATTATAATGGCTATAGTAAAATAAATTTCTTAATCACAATAATCTCATAAAATATACCTTCTTTATAGTAATAAGTATATTATTTTATGACAAACCGTCTTCACTCAAAATCGTTTTTCGTATACAATGATTTTATATCACTGAATTTAAATTTAACACATTCATTACAGTGCATATCTTACTGGTCATCTGCAAGATATAATAAAGCCTTATAACAAACCGTTTTCCTAGACTTTAGACTGAAAAGGGTTTATCGTTTTTATGAAATTGTTGGGGAGAGTAATTTTAACGTTTAAGTTCTAATATTTTACTCTTTGTACAACATTTTTATTATACATGGAATTCCAAAGCACTAAGCAACTTGTATAGTTTATTCAAAGAATAATAATAATTTGCTGTATTAGTTATAGTATAAAAATTAATAAAATACAAATTATTGATTGTTTTTCATTCTCATAATTATTTTTATTTAGTGGTTTGGCGATAATATATATATATATATATAAACAGCCGAATTTGGACCTGTAAATTGTATTCAATAGTTAATCACAGGTATCTGTGAACTGCAGTACAGCTCGTTTACTGTACATCGGGTCCTTGTCGTTTTTTCTTCGGTGTAAACTGCTGTTGGCCACTAAGTACGTAGAACCATTGTCTGCGAATTGCATCATAAGTGTTATACTTCTTCCTGCACAATCCACACTGCGTAGATAGGTACAACAAATATTTAATTTATTAGGACTACATTAGCTTATTTTTAATGTAACATAAGTAAGTACTCAATTTAGTTACATAATATTCATTCAAATAATTAAATATATGATGTGTATTTAGTAGTTTATTGCCAATATTTATAATTATAAAGTTATATTAAATGGCCATCAAAAAAACAATTATTTCTGTACATGTTTTTTAAGTATTTAATGATTAGCCCGAATTAAAGGTGATATAACCTACATGATTATAATAGTATTTTACTGAAATATAGAACCTCATTTATCCTGACACCTGTTTAACAATACGTCATATACTATAATAGTATTATAAGAAAAATAATCCGAATAAGTAGGTAGTTGTTTGTACTAAATAATGTTTGTATTTCTTAAATCTTTAGTTTTTATTTTCATACTGAACAGAAGAAGAATCGTAAGTTCCTACTTGAGAGTAGCAGGTAAAAAATTACATACGTTAATTCCTACATAGTACAAAAAAGGTGCGTATATAAGTTGCTACACATGGCCGAATACTATATTATTATATTTAATTATATATTTTCATTTTCATACATTTTATAATTAAATACACTTAAATAACTCCATATTGTATAATAGTATAAGTTAAAAATGTCGTAAACCAATATAATATATATATTATAATTATATATGTAATTTATTTTCATATATTTCATTATATTTTATATATCTAATTGAAAAAAAAAATATATTTTTTATCATTTATATACATATACTTTTTACAAACAATTATACCATGTTTCATATACTTATAATATTAATTCATGAAATACAATTATGTATGATAACTGATAAGATAATATTTTTTGTGTAATAACATCTGTTTTTTATATTCGTATAGAAACTGACATAATTAGCTTTTTTACCGTGTGGGAACTTACATTATATTATGTATCATTTCCTATCGTGTAGTAACTTGTGTATTTTTTTACCTGTTAGATCTTGTTTATCAATTTACATTCCCCCGAAAAAAGTGTTTAAATACAACCTAACCTTGGGTCATTTCATAGTTAATTTTATTTAATTCGGACAACCTTGAGCCACAATTAGTCCGAAAGTTCTACAGTATACACCGTCCACCCATAGAATAGGATTGTGCAAAACAGAAAGCTGATGTTACTCTTCCATAAGAACGCTGGATAAGTATAAGCTGCAAGTCACTTATCAGAGCACCAAATATATTTGCTGTAAGCGTTTCACACTCTTATTTTCTCGGTGTACGGTACATAGTAACAGGATCTTCCAACAAACTGTGGCATAGAGCCTTAAACTTTTGGTATATACATATTTGTATCCAATAATTTTATATTTATCGAATAATTCAGTCGTTTAATATGATAACAATAATCGAGCAGATATATTTTAATCAATTATTAATATACTGCTAGTCGTCAAACTTTTATATGGGACAATTTAATTCTTATACCATTTTGATTTTCGAAAGATGTAACTTAAGTACTCAGTTTTTGTCGTGCCAGTGCTCCCGTAATGCCATAGTTACTGTTAGTATATTATGTTCGGTGGTATAATAAACTATATAATAAAAAAACTTCTTACAGGCATTCGCGTTGAGTGCTTGACTTGGTAAAAATTAGAAGGGGAAAGCAAAGGCATAAAAAAAAGTCTAAGCCTGAATATTAAAATGCCATATTGATTTGGATATAATAAGAAGGGGTGAGTGTAAATTTTTTTTAAAGAAATGGAACTCCTCCTTCCCCTTGTGTCAACCCTCAATTCAAGCACTTTTTAAAATGTTGTGTCGACGTAATGATTATGTAAATATCATCAAATATCTATCCATGTTCGTATCAAATACAATCAACAATCAACACATCAAACTATTATAAATGCTTATAGGTTACATATTAATATACTTTATTTGTTATTTTTATCTATTGTGAAAAAATTCCGTTTCCTAAAAACACGACTCGATACAGAGAAAAAACTATGTTACATAATATGATATAGGTGCTTAGTAGGTACTCTATACATAGGGTCTATGTATAATAATAATTCACTGACTTTTGTTTGGTTTTTAGTATGTCCAGTAAGTCTTCTTGTTCGTCGATAGTCCATTCGCCTGCAATTTCGTCGGGCGATAAATTCAACAGCATCGACGTATCCGTTGGTCCCATACACGCCGTCAAAATCCGCAAATTACTATCGCCCATTTTCTACATGCAACCGTATTTAAAATTTACAAAGTTTAGAATACAGTTGAAAAGTAATAAATGAAATATTCAACTCTGATCAAACTTCGAAGGTTAGGCTATGTTCGGTAGGTATACAAACTAATAGTACCAAATTAATTTGGTATGGTATTACATAAAATAGGTAGGGGGGAGGCATTAATAAAATTAAACTTTTTTCTTCTCCTATAACCAAGGACCACCCTGGTATACTCATACAGGATGATTTTTTTTTACCACGAATCATTGACGGTAAGTATTAATGTAACTTTAAGTATTATATTGTATTTGAATAACCACTGATTTCTGAGCACGATTTAAGATAAATAAACATATAGTGCCTGACGTAATATTGGTACCTAATGAAGAGTGTGTAGGTAAAACGAAAAATGATAGCCCCTGTAATTATTGTAGTTGTAGCACTGTAGCAGAACACATTATACGAAAATAACATTTACATAATATATAGGTACTTATACTCTGTCCAGAGAGAGAACACGAGAATTCTGCAAGTATATACCACATACACGTATAAGCACAATTTAATCCAGCGAGAGAACACGCTGAACCTGCGAAACTGGTTCTTCCATGACTGGGTACCGCGTGGGGATGCACAGAAGAATCATATTTCGTAGGTCCACGGAGTGTTCTATATTGTTGGAGAGAATACATGAATATTAATATTATTATACCCACTCGTCACCCTGTCATGTCACCGAGACCGGTTCTACCAAGGTAGGGAGTTTTATGGGGATGCGCATACTAATTGCCTCCCAAAGTCAACAAGATCAATTATTTTTACACCAATTTTTTCCTGACTATACGCGAGTTGACTCCCAACGTAGGTAAACTAAATTTTATCTTAAACGAAAAGGGCCTTGTATTAGTTACCTCCCTACGAGCATGATTCAAAATATGCTGGCTAAAAAACATAAGCCAAATCAATGCTATAACTGCTATAAGAATGTTATTTTTTCCTAGTAACTAGTTATATTACCATAAATTTTTATCGACTTACTATAGGTACTAACCACCTGTTTTGTACTGACTTATTATATTATTATTTGTGTACTTTTTGTATAAATATCGTATGCACCTAAGACTGATATTTTTTAACTAGAATTATTATAACTTTTGCTAGGCACCTAATGACTTAATATTGAATCCGTATATAATTACAACTTAAAAGTTATAAAATTATATATTATGTATACATGAAGTGCAATTAGTATAAAATAAATTGTGAACTACCTGATCATTGAAGGTAACTAGTATACATACATAATATATATGTATATATTTTATGTTTATTTACTGTATAGATGGAAGGTAATTCGTATATTTTAGGAGGCAACTAATATACACCCATTAGAACAGATTTTTGTTAGGCAGCAGCATGTTCTCTAGTCGGACTAAATACCTATACAATATACATGATAAATATTACATGATATTTTAACTAAAAAAAAAAAATAAATATTACTAAATAATATGATACTTAACACTGAATCCCAGTGTGGCGTTCCGTACTGCGGCTTTACTAGCACTGAATATTGGCAGTTGAGGCACAGGTTTGATGGCATATATGGAGGATAGGTTCACGACCACTCCTCCAGGCGTTTTAGAGTTTTTCATTAGATCTATGCCTAACTCCGTGGTGGTGATCAAGGCTCTCTGAGAAAAATTATGTTAATGATCAAGATTAGTTGTTTGGGCTCTAATGTCCTATAATACTCGAAATAACAATACGCGTAGCAGGTTGTCTGTAACCCGGATACCTCTCCTTGGGGAGGGAGGATTTATAGAGTTTAAAATAAATATATAAATAAAAAAAATAATTAATTTACATAAAAAAAATCCCTTAAAAAACCGATATGGTTACTAAGGCACTGATTACAGCAATATTGAAAATTAATTAGTTTTGTTGTTTACTTTAATACTAAGGTATGCACTATGTAGGCACTTAGCACCTAGTATTTTTTTGGTTGCACTAAATTTTTCTCCGGAATAGGACAACACATCTAGACGGCAGCAGCGAATAAAGGATAAATTTGAACCTGAAATTCTGTGGCTGTTGCAGATGAAACATACCGTGAATAATTAATATTGAAGATATTAAAAAAAATGATTCTACGACAATATCCGTTGATATCAATCGATGCCGTATTTTTCTTACTTCCTCTTCTTCATGATAGATTGCATATAGGTCTCCGAACTCGGGGTTGTCGTCGTTTAACATACTTACAGTCTACCCGGGTAGATCTGAATCGTATGTGAGAGTAGACAAATAATGAATTGTACATTACAGGTATATATATACGCTTTGATATCTATTGTACCTATATCATTATATTTGTGAATGTATAGGTAGTTATTTAGAAGTTTATAATATCTGCATCTTAAATTAATTTACAAGTCACAGATATGAGAAAATGCTCTGGTATAACTGCTCCATACTTTATGTTAAAGCTGCATTTGCAGACTTAAATTGTTTAAATGTTTTATAAAGTTCATGATTGGCACATAGTACACACAATTCAAATGAAAGTCTATATTGGTAGAGATTTTGGAAGTTAACGTTACATGCTGTAAATTATAAAAATTATGTAAAATTCACCTCGTACTTCATGTAAGTCTTAACTACCTACACTTAACTACTTACACTAGATAGGTAATTAACTAAAATGAAGAGAATATTGAATTGGACAAGAACTAAAATGTTACCACTTACCAGGAACAATGATCCATTATTTAATGATATGTGAATAATTCAAGAATCTATACTATACCAGCCGAAGAATGTCTAGACAAAACAATAGATTTATATGCTACTAAAAAAACAAGACGAATTCTATTTCTTCAAAAAATAGAATACATATACATTTTAAGTTTTGACTCAAAACATTTTTTTTCGCTTGAATTCATTTAAACGACCTTATTGGTCTCTATCGGTGTCCTTTCACTTGGCAGGGACAGAATATGTCTAGCACACGGATGTCCTTCTATAAGAATATAATGTTCACGTTTTTGGACGTCACTCCCAGTGTATAGTAGGTCAGGGAGGGCAGGGTATTGTAACCTAACCTATCGAGGAGCGACCAGGACGAAGCCGGGAGAGAGACTACGAATTAGGAAGGATGGGTTAAGCTAGGTTAGTAAGATTTCCTTGCACATTTAATTCATTTTCTTAATTTATCAAACGAACAGTTAAAATTGTATGTGTACGAGTGTATATTGCATGATTATAATATTACGTTATTTATGTTCAAAATAGTAATACATTTTTATTTTTTTTTATACGATTTGACAACAAATATAGAATTCACATTTTTTGGTCATATTTTAATATTTTATAAATGCTTAGTGTTAATATGGTACATTTCTCTTAATAACGTTTATATCGCAATTTATTAACGCATTTTATTATTTCTATAGCTTATTAATTAATTCACCTCAAACTGCCTCCATAATTTTAATATGCTTCCGGAGAAAATTACATGAAATAAACACTGTAAAATATATTGTAAGTATATAAGAATATCCCTGGCTGATGATGTGACTTATATGATCAATATTTAGATATATCAATGCAACATACACAAAAATATGGATTACAAAAAATGTTTACCACGTTGGTTTCGATCATTTGTGTCCACTTGAATGATTCGTTCAAAATGCCTGCGCCATTCACCAAAATGTCCAAATTGCCCATACATTTCACCGTGTCGAATAGTCCTGGAATTAATTAATGAATTAAAAGAGCTCCTCGCTTTTCTCGAACTTTGAAGCTCTGCATAAGTTACATTTTTTTTATTACCTATTAAATTATTTTTATTCAAAATGGACATTAAATATTTTGGGAAGATTTTTTTCACGCATTTTTAAGGTTTTTATGTTAGCTATATTTTATTTTGAAACGAGCATAAGATGTTTAAGCGAACAGGAGGTTAATTAAATATGTTTTTTTTCTCTTTACATGGGGTTTTCAAGGCTACATTATTACCATACTAAAATGTGCACATAGGAGGCATATCAGATAGCAATTTATATACGGTTCACATACAACACATCTTACCGATTACATTTTTTTGAGCTATATTTGTTAGAAGTCTCAAATACCCCAAAACACGTATACGATTCAATGTAAAGAAAATATGCAGAGAAAATATCAAAATATTAAAAAATATCAAAATAAAAAAAAAATAAATATATAGACAAATAAAAATAAATAAATGAAATAATTATAATATTATAATCATAAAAATATTATTATTATTATTGTTATATTAATATAATTGTATAATAATAATAACAATATTTTATTTTATAATATTTATAAATAAATATATAAAAATATCAAATACTATAGTTCTAATATCTCTTCTACTATTTTCTTCACTATTTAAAGGAGCCTATAGAGATTAGAGTCTTAGAAATCAATAATACAAAAATAGATATATGTTCTGACTCACTCAGTGCCTTAGTAAATCTGCAAATCCAAAACATTAACTCAACCATTGGCTCCATCAATTAGTAACCTTCTTTCCAAATCAAACAAAGACATTAGATTTATATGGACCCCAGGTCATAGTAACATAAATAGAAATGAGAAGGCAGATGAAGCTGCTAGAGATGATAGAAATCCCATAAAACCTGTACGAAGCAATTGGTCCATTTTCAAACTTTCAAAACATACTTTTGCACTTAAAAAAAATTAAATTGTATAATAGCCTTGAATTAATTATTAACCTTCAATGTTAAAACGTAACACTTGTTAAGCTGATAGCCTGTGTAGTTGATGCTAAACCATTAGAGAAAAAAAATACCTCTTCCTCTCACAAATTACACCTTTGTTTTCCTCCCTGAGCAATGGGTCTGGTTCTACGAGCCAGTTAATATTTCAATAACCCTCAGAATGCGTTATATAGATGAACTATGAATAAGGATTGTGCATCATACTCATATACCTGTGCTTATATAAATAAGTGTATTTCAATAGATATATGTATTGTTTATACACCTAATATATTGTAGATTTATCCCTATATATATATACTTTTCAATCCTTCATCACAGTTGACGTCCATCTGTACGTATAAGGCCTTTTGGTCGCCATTTAAACTGTCACACTTGTCCATCAGGACTTAATGCGCTTTCTCGCCATCCAAGATGTTCCTGCCACTGACGATCACTCTCGACGCCCCATTTTGTATCAAATCCTTGGCTACGGCCAATCCTATACCTTTGGTTCCACCAGTGATAAGAGCTACTTTCCCCGCCAGGTCCATGTATTGGCGACACCCAAAAAATGGCTTAGGTTTCGGCTCTCTATAATATATGTATAACAATATGTGTACATAATAATTATGTTGTACCATGAACTAAACAACATCAAATCGGTTGAAAATACGATTAACTACTACCGTCAACTATTTTTTATTTTAAATAAAATTATACTAGCCGATAAGTATAGCATCTCAAATTATGATTTACATTATTTATCATTGTTTGTTAAATAGACATACATAGTGTATATATTTTTTTGTACAACGTAGTTGATTTCAAAAACATAACGCACAACCTTCATCGACTTCATCATGCATGATGTACATTGAATATTCGAATTAACATTATAAATACATAGCATTTGGATTTTATTTATTTAAGTTTATAAAAGAAACTGATTGACAGTATTACGCTGGTAGGATATGTATACACTTATACGCACTTGGATAAATCTTCAATAACCTTTTTCAAAGACGATTTATTAGTTTGGTCATCCGTATTAATTTCTGGCTTCTTAACACCATCGCCACCACCGCTACATCTTCTAATGCATTTTACCATATCGAGTGCTTTAAATCTAAAGCAAACATAAATCGTATTATATTATATTTTTATATTTCCTATTTTAGATTAGGTGTTAGATGAGTGAACCACATGTTACTTCGCTTATATAATTATGATCTCACTCGGATTCTGTGCCTAAACTTTTATTAAACTATTAAATATAGTTATTAAACAAATACCATTATTAACGTACGAGAAAACATTATCTCTCGTAGAGGGAGAGTATAAGACACCTATCCTCTCATATTCCAATGTGTACCAGACATTGAAAACGTTTCGATCAAAGTAGTTACATCATAGGTATTTGACATTTGTCCATATTATATGAACAATACCACGTAACAATATTATAGATCAATATAAATCTCTAATAGAGTCTTGTGCTATTGTGCATAAAATATGTAACAATTATACTTTTATCGTTATAAATTATAATATTATAATATATTATTTATTATATCATCCTTGTTATTGCTTATTATAATAAATTACGACTGTAGTGAAATTATTTGTGGCTGGCATATTTGTGTCTCATGGTACACTTAAACCATAAATGATAATGTTTTGCATAGATACCTAGATCATAATAATATATACGCTTAATTTATTAGTTACTAACACATCTAGTTTGGCCTTCCGAATTATTTAAACATATTACAATGATTTTAGTTATTTTGTTGTTTTTTTAAATATTATTCGTGGGTATCTATTTGAAACGTTCAAAATATATTATTATATTATCACACACAATGCCACTTTTAAATGCAATTTATTTGGCAAAAACGATTTCAACCTACTGTATTCCTAATGTATAATTATAAAATAAACTACTTTATTAATAATATAATAACATAAACAGAGTAATATAAATCGAAATACAGTTTTCTCTCAGAATCGATTTTAGTATAGGTACAATGATTTAAAAATAAAATATAATAATTAATATTGCAGGCAAAAGTCTTAGTTCAAAATGGTTTTTGGTCGATTTATAATTTAATTCAAGTTTAACTCTTTCATTTCAGTAACCCCTCTAGACTGATTAGGTTAGGTTAAAGGCACTGTACAGTAGAGAGGTACAATAAACTTTGGCGATTCCTCCCCTCCTTTTTTTAACATTTGTCTCTGACCCGATTATAATAGTGCTAAAGTTTGTAATTAACATATAAAATAAATAATAATTATTTATTATGTATGTTATACAAAATCACATCAAGGGCTATGCAATATCATAAGGAACAATGAAGAATGGTTTAATATAATAATAGAACAAAATATATAAAACATTGTTCATTAATATGAAAAACAAATTTAATTGTATCGAGAAAATATTTGAATGAAACTGAAAAGAATCTCAATATTTTGTTATTGTTTTTGTTCATTTTTTTGGTGATAGGAGGTTACGATTATCATAAAAGTATACTTAAAACTATTTATAAATATTTAAATTAAATAATTAATCAATACATTATTTAATTGATTCAAGTATTTCAGATGCCTCTGGGCACCAATTATATTGTCAAGTTAAACAACATCAAAGTAGATATGAATATTAGGTAGGCATTGTGTCATCTGAGTATTTAATGAAATCTTCAAAATCCTTAGAATCATTAAAAAATATTATTTGAAAACCAATTTTCAAAATTGTATTATACGGAACAAAAATATTGTTCGCTGAAATACGGTGGAAAAAATAAAAATAAAAAGAGGGTAAGTGGATATCAGACTAATGTCTGCTGTACATTATAGGTGTCTAGAAGGTCGCTGAAATGGATGTTATTAAATTTGAATTCAGTGACATTATAATATCATTCTATACGAAAAACGATTCTGAGCTTAGACTGTATGTCAGCCTTGCTAGGACATTCTATATTGTTAGTACGTGTTATTAATAGGGTAGCCGGTAAGCTGAATTAGTATCATTCATAATATTATTCTTAAATTATCAGTGACGATGGAAAAATATTATATTTATATTACACTTATGTAAAATTGGGATGTATTGTGATTTGTGGACCCAATTACAGCGAAATGACTAAAATCGTTATTCTTTGTGTTAATATGAGATTTCGTCTAAATTGGAACTTAAAATAACTATAAAAAAAAGGTTACGGAATTATATACTTAACCTTGTTTTAATATTTTAATCCTTAGCTATAAAAGTCGAACATTTAATACATTTTTAGCTACAAAATCATTTTTCAATTTTCAATTTGATAAATATTGTCAAAATTTGAACTTTAAATGTTTATAAAGATAATTCGTGCTTATGTATTTTTAATATTTTTCAACTGCTATTGTAACAATACACCCAGAGTTTTGTATTATATTTTCATGCTTTTTTACCCAGCCAATACAATTTTATTAAACATTATTTTATTTGACATTTATAAAAAAAAAAAACTGAAAATGTCCGTAAACAGCTCAAAACGAGTCAAAATATTTTGAAAATGTTATCAAGTATAGTAATTAATAAAATAAACTTATGGAGTAAAGTTCAAGTCTGTAAAAATATTCGTTTTTGAATTACAACAAAATAAGAAAATCGCCACATGAGAAATCTAGTGAATATATACAATGTTGTGAAAATTTCAACTTATAAATACAACGCTCATAAAAATTTAATTCGGAATTGAGGTAGAAATTTTTTTTTTGATAAAGGTAAATAAACTTATATAGGAATTTTTCAATAAATTTTGAAATCTTAGAAATAAAATTATAATTTTGTATGAATTTCTAACTCAAAATAATTTGCTAAATTTCCTGATTTTTCAAATTTTATCAAAATTCAAAATTCAAAAGCCCACAAAATTTTAGTGTGGATTTAACCTCTATTTGTTTTTTTAATTTCTTAACAATAACTTACAAGGGACCTTGTAAAACATTTTTAATTTTTTTGACTGAGCGGGAAATTTGTCATTGACATAAGTTTAATAAAAACAAATAACAATTGAAAATTGTATTTTCCTATAAATAGTTCAACGCGAGTCAAAATATTTTTTCAAAATTTGATGGTCTATAGATAATGCCAACACAAACATTCAATGAACATTTCACGTATCCACGGTTTTTTTTTTTTAGAGTTACACTAAAAACCAAAATCAATTTTTTCGAAAACTGAGTTTGCGTGAACATTTTTCATTAATTTTTTGTTTGTTATTTTTTGTCAATTTTGAAAACTATTGGGAAATTTAAATTTTGACATCCCGTCTAGATTCGCTTTCCTACAATCGAAAATTGAAGCACTTTTACTTCCCGAAACCGTAATGACAGACACAAAAATAAAAAAAATAAAAAAACGCGTATCATTGTAAAATCAATTCATTCATCTCTCCGCTCTGAATCTAAAAGTATTTTGTATTCTGAAATAAAATACCAAAAAATTGTTTTGAAAGTATTTTAAATACCTACATTTGTCAAAAAGTATTTGAATTAGGTACCAAAAAAGTATTTGAATACTTAACAAGACTGCTAAACAGTATACATTTATGTTTTTTTTTATGTTTGTTTCATTTTTTTCTTACGTATTCAAAAACGAAATCATTCACTTACCTGTTAATCATCAAATAAACCGTTTTTTGTTCGACTGTGGATAATTTTCTGTAAATCATGTTTTACACTTTTATAATTATTAATTAAAGTAAGTAGTAAATTATCATGAATATTGAATTTAATATTAAAGGACGGGTGAACTATAAACGAATGTTGATTTATATTGTTTGATTCTGCAATAAAATTGCCTTGGAAATAATATAGGCAGAAGGTACTTACTTGTTACTTGTAGTTATATTAATCTTATAGTTTATTATTTTTTCAATTGTTTGCATTTATAGACTTTAGATAATAATAATATGTTCCTTGTGGTTTTCGATTACTAGCATAACTTCAATTAAAATGTATGTTTACAAATGTATAACAGTCAATAAACCAGTGGCGTGTCCAAGGGGGGGAGGTTAGGGGATTATATCCCCCCCCCCATTGACTTTTTTTTGTTGACTTCAACTTATTTAATTATTTTATATTAATATTTAAATTTACTTTTACCAAAACATTTATAACATATATTCCCCCCCCCCCCNCCCCCCCCCCCCCGTTGAAGTTTCCTGGGCACGCCACTGCAATAAACGTATTAGATATTTAGGATTGGTACCTAAACTGTCTAAAATTTTAAGTATCATTGCATGTAGTTTGGATATGTATTAATTGCAGGTCATTGGATATTCTTCAACTAGGTACAGAAAATTAGTACTCAACATTTTCAATTAGAACATTTTAAAAATGTGTGGCGTAAAAGTAGCGAAAATTATTGAGAGCTACTTTTTGTTTGGTGGGGGGGGGGAGGGGCGGTGGTGGTGGTGGTGGTGGATAAGCTGTAGCTTTGGAGCGATGCAAAAAAATCGACCACTGAAATATACGTCCAAATTTGAGTGGAAAACTTACA